CACAAAGTGGGAAGGTGACTGGGCCATGGCTCAATGGTAGAGCATTAGTTTGGTATGCAGACGGTCCCAGGTTCAATCCCCGACATCTCCAGTGAAAAGGACCAGCTAGTAAGCAAGGGGAAAGACCTCAACCTGAGGCGCTGACCTTGATGGACCAATGGAATCCCCACTCTGCCGTGGAAGCTCGCAGGGTGACCTTCAGCCAGTCACGTACATTCAGCCTAACCTACCTCACAGGGTTTTGGTGAGGATAAAATGGAAGAGAGGAGAATGATGTCAGCCATTTTGGGTCCCCGGTGAGGAGAAAGGTGGAGTATAAATGAAATAAATAGGGAGAAGGAACAAACTAGTACGCATTGAAAACATAACCCATCTGTAATGATTTCTTGTTTTGGTGTGTGTGTGTGTTTCTTTAAATGTTTAGTTTGACTGCAGTAATGTAAGGAGAGTGACAGAGGGAGACAAGTGTGATGTGACTGGCTAGTGACTGAGAGTGTGGAAGGAGAGATGTCTATGAGAGGATTGTGTGTGTGAAGTTTGAAGAGAAAGCATAATCTGTGTGACTATGGGAGTTTGAGTCTATTCTGTGTGAATAAGACAAAGAGTTTAGCCTGTGTGGCTATATGAGAGAGAGATTAGACTGAGTGTCTAAGCCTGTCAGAGTGGAGCCTGGCGTTTGAGAGACTGTTTGTGACGCCAAGCTTTGCCAGTTATATTTACAAGCTCCTTTCTTCAGCAACTGTTCAAAATAACCAGAAACCTATATTGTTCTTTATTAAATACACCAAACTGGCTCAGACCATTGGTCTATCAAGGTCAGTATTGTCTGCTCAGACTGGCAGCAGCTCTCCAGGTTGTTAGGCAGAGATCTTTTGAATCACCTCCTACCTGAGCCTTCCAACCAGAGATGCCGGGGATTGAACCTGGGACATTCTGCATGCAAAGCAGAGGCTCTGCCACTGAGCTATGCCCCATTATCTGAAGAAATGAGCAGTGACTCACGAACGCTCATCCCCTGCCACAAATTTTGTTGGTCTTTATGGTGCTACTAGACTCTCTTTTCTACTACTAGTATGATAAAGGTTGCTCTCTCTTATTTATTTATTAGATTTTTATCCCGCCATCCCGCCGAAGTGGCTCAGGAAGGACTGCTCCAAAGCCAACTAACTTATGCAGCAGCCAATTCGCTCACTCACAACTCTTCTTTGTATTATATTTCTGCGAAGCTGAGATTTGAATAGGTTTTAATTATATAAGCTGCTCTGAGTTCTATGGACTGGGAGAAACGCGTGGTTTTACATAAGACTTCTAAGTGGCAAAAAGAGCAACAAACCAAACGCAGTGTTACAGCTACCGGCGCCCGCCGAAACAAACCGTCACTCTCTGAGCCTAATGCCTGGAGGGCTTTTTTTTTGCAAGAAACAGATTTCATGCTCATCTGGGTGGCTGTATTTGGTCCTCTTAAAAGACCGGGAGGGAGCGGGCAAAGCAGAAGACTGCCACTCTCGGGACGAAGATTTGAATCTACGGCAATAGAATAGTACAAATGAAAAACCGTGTACCAAATAGACCAGGGCGCGCTCCGGTAATTTACAGTTTCATGCTTGCATCCCAATGAGCAAAGGTTAGGGCAGATGCTAACCGCTGTCACGACTTATTTCCATCCCATTATGCGAATGTGCAGTGGAATATGAATCATACTGCAATTTGTCTTATCTGGCCTGGAACCAAACTGTTCTGGGAGTACGCTGAACCTGTTACGGGATCTTCAGTAGGACTGAACCAGAACACTGTCAAGTCACAACCAGTGTTCCCTCTAAGCTGAGTTAGTGTGAGCCAGCTCACAGTTTTGTTAGCCTCCGGCTCACAGATTTCTGTCTTCGCTAAGGAAGGAGGGCACTAGGCAGCGTTCCCTCTAAGCTGAGTTAGTGTGAGCTAGCTCACCGTTTTTTAGCTTCCAGCTCACGCATTTTTGTCTTCGCTCAGGAAGGACGGCTCCAAAGCCAACTAACTTATGCAGCAGCCAAATCGCTCACTCACAACTTTAATGCCAGTAGCTCACGAAGTAGAATTTTTGCTCACAAGACTCCACAGCTTAGAGGGAACATTGGCACCAGGGCAAACTAATTTCTGCAGCAGCCAAATCGCTCGCTCACAACTTTAATGCCAGTACCTCACGGAGTAGAATTTTTGCTCACAAGACTCCACAGCTTAGAGGGAACATTGGCCCCAGGACAAACTAATTTCTGCAGCAGCCAAGTCGCTCACTCACAACTTTAATGCCAGTAGCTCACGAAGTAGAATTTTTGCTCACAAGACTCCACAGCTTAGAGGGAACATTGGCACCAGGGCAAACTAATTTCTGCAGCAGCCAAATCGCTTGCTCACAACTTTAATGCCGGTAGCTCACAAAGTAGAATTTCTGCTCACAAGACTCCATGGCTTAGAGGGAGCATCGGTCACAATGGAACCCAACCCGCAAAGTTGGGTCCCTGCCTCTAAAATCAAGCAAGTGGGGGAGGGGGCTGCGGCTCACAAAAGACCCTGTACTTTCCATGCGAAAGATCCCAGGTTCAATCCCCGGCATCTCCAGGTTAAAAAAGGACCGGGCAGTAGGTGATGTGAAAGACCTCGTCCTCCTGAGACCCTGGAGAGCTGCTGCCGGTCTGAACGGACAATCCTGACTTCGATGGGCCAGTGGTCTGATTCAGTATAAGTCCGCTTCATATGTGTTCATGCGAGATGACATGTTATGAGGCCAGAGACAGGCAAGGGAGATGGGGCCAACTGCCTGCCACAAAACCCCTTTCTCCCCACAAACCAAGGGAGCCATCTTGCCCTCCAACCGGGACAGCTGCAAAAGGAGCTCACCAGACTGCTTTTCAAAACACTGGTCCTCAGTCTTGAAACTCTGTTTTGCAATAACCAGTGAAGGCAATAGATTCAAGTGGGTAGCTGTGTTGGTCTAAAACAGAGGGGGGGGGCAAACTGTGGCTCACACATATTGTGCAGCTCCCAGCAGAGCAGCTGGGGAAGCGAAGGGGAGGCAGTTTGGTGTAGTGGTTGAGTGTGCGGACTCTAATCTGGGGGAACCGGGTCTGATCCCCCACTCCTCCACTTGCACCTGGCTGGATGACCTTGGGCAAGCCATAGTTCTCTCAGAGCTGTCCTTGAAAAAGAGCAGTTTCTGTCAAGAGCTCTCTCAGCCCCACCTACCTGACAGGGTGTCTGTTGTGGGGAGGGGAAGGGAAAGGAGTCTGTAAGCCGCTCTGAGACTCCTTCGGGTAGTGAAGGGTGGGATATAAATCCAATCTCTTCTTAAGTCAGTTTGGTGTAGTGGTTGAGTGCGCGGACTCTAATCTGGGAGAACCGGGTTTGATTCCCCACCCCTCCACTTGCACCTGGCTGGATGACCTTGGGCAAGCCGTAGTTCTGATAAGAGCTGTTCTTGAAAAAGAGCAGTTTCTGTCAGAGCTCTCTCAGCCCCGCCTACCTCACAGGGTGTCTGTTGTGGGGAGGGGAAGGAGTTTGTAAGCCGCTCTGAGACTCCTTCGGGTAGTGAAGGGGGCCATGGGGTAGAAACCCAATCTCTTCTTCTTCCTTCCTTCCTTCCCCCTCCTCTCCCATCTATTTGCTTTCTTTGTTTCTCTCTCTTTCTCTCTGCCTCTTTCATGCTTTCTTTCCACCTCTCTCTCTATTTCTCTCGCTCTCTCTGTCAGGTAGCCCTGTCATGGATCTGGAATGTGTGTGTGGGGGTACCTATCCTCCTTGTTCTCAGCTCTACCCTGTCCAGCCACCGTGCACTATCTCAGGCTTGACCTTATAGTCTCCAGCTGCATTTACTCGGCTGGGAACGTAATGGCTTTTTGCTAAGACTGCTTGCTTGCTTTGCCACGCGCGAACTATAACCACTGGCTTCTATTCATGGGGGGGGGTGTGTGTGTTTGATTTCACTATACGTCAGAGGCCCTTATACTGAACACTATTCCTGACACAAGCTGTATACGTGATCATTAGTACTGTATCCATCAATAAATACTTATCTTCTTATAAAGCCCTGTGTGGTGTGACCTGAGTAACGACCCTGACACTCTCTTAGACAAATAAATATCGTTAGCAAACGAACATCATCGAACAAATAAATATCATTACCACTATTTTTACCCCTTTTGTTTTTATTTTTGGCAGTCTCACTTAATGTTCAGCAAAAACCTTGTAATATTTGTTTGTGTCCTGCAGCTCTCAAACATCAAATGTTCATTCTATGTGGCTCTGATGCTGAGCAAGTTCGGCCCTGGTCTAAAACAACAGAACAAAGTTTGAGACCAGTGGCACCTTTAGGATGAACGAAGTTTTAATTCTGGGTACAGGCTTTTGTGTGCATGCACACAATGCAGGGGTCATTTCCTGCAGGAGCGCACAGGAGCAGAGCTCCGGCAGTAAAGAGCCCAAGGGGCGGGCACATGCAACAAGCCCCACCCCCTGCTCCCAGCAGCCCTCAGTCAGAGCAAGAAGCAGCCAGGTAAGTTGCAGAGCGCCCCCCCAAAGCAGTCCAGTGGCACCTTTAAGACCAAGTTTTATTCAGGTACAAGCTCTCCCTCCTCTGCGAGGACAGATCTGCATGTCCCCCCCCCCAAACAGTCCATTGGAGCCTGAGCGGTGGGTGTTGCCTTCTGACACACTTCCGGTGATGTCAGGGGGTGTGGCATATGCAAATAAGTTATGCTAATGAGTTATGCTAATGAGCTCCTGCACCTCTTTTTCTACGAAATGACCCCTGACACAATGTATATGAAGAAGAGTGCACGCCCATGAAAGCTTCTACCCGGAATAAAACTTTGTTGGTCTTAAAGGTGTCACTGGACTCAAACTTTGTTTCATTGAAGACAGAATTCTGGAAAGGGCCTGCCCAGAATCCTCTCCACCAGCGATCTAACCAGCAGGGCTGTGCCTCTACCCACGGAATGAGTCACACAAGAACACGGAGGAAATTTTTGTACCAGGAGTTCGTCCATGCTGGTCTGACATTTTTCGAGGTTGATCCGCTTGATCGCCACCTTCTCTTTCTTCGGGCTGCAATAGGCCGCCTGCACCACTGCCGTGGCCCCGCTGCCTGGAAAAAAGAAACACACGGAAGACACACACAGTCAGAAAGGCCTTCAAAGGCTGGGAAGGGTCTCGTTGGGTCACTGTTTTGCACAGCGGGTTGCTGCTTGCATTAGGCTGTTATCCTTTTAGGACAGATTCTTCAACACAAATAGACGCAAGCACAGAGTCTGTGACCAAAGCTGCCCCGCTTGCCCAAGTCAGTTTCTGTCTGCAACAGACACGTGTGTAAGGGCCTGATCCATTCCCAGCCACTGATTGTGGCTTCCATGATCAGAGGTAGTCATCCTCTGAAGCCAAGTGCCAGGAGGCAACATAGGGAGAAGGCCTCGGCCTCTTTGTCCTGTTGTTGGCCATCCAGAGGAACTGGTTGGCCACTGTGTGAGACGGGATGCTGGACTGGATGGACAACTGGTCCGATCCAGTAGGGCTCTTCTGATGCTCTTATCAGGGGAAGGCCTCGGCCTCTCTGCCCTGTTGCTGGCCATCCAGAGGAACTAGTTGGTCACTGTCTGAGACAGGATGCTGGACTGGATGGACCACTGGTCTGATCCAGCAGGGCTATTCTGATGTTCTAATGAGGAAAAGGTCTTGGCCTCTATGCCCTATTGTTAGCCCTCCAGAGGAACTTGGTGGGCACTGTGTGAGACGGGATGCTGGACTAGATGGACCACTAGTCTGATCCAACAGGGCTCTTCTTGTGTTCTTATCAAGGGAAGGTCTCAGCCTCCGTGCCCTGTTGTCGGCCGTCCTGAGGAACTGGTTGGCCATTGTGTGAGACAGGATGCTGGACTAGATGGACCCCTGGTCTGATCCAGCAGGGCTCTTCTTGTGTTCTTATGGGGGGAAGGCCTCGGCCTCTCTGCCCTGTTGTTGGCCCTCCAGAGGAACTAGCTGGCCACTGTGGGAGACAGGATGCTGGACTAGATGGACCACCGGTCTGATCCAGCAGAGTCCTTAAAAGCAAATGAGACCTGGGGAAATCGGATCAGATTATCTGCTCACCATGAAACAAACAGGCAACCTTGGGACACCTAGTCACTTTCTCTCCACCTAACCTACCTCAAAGGGCCGTTGCAGGCATGAAGCAGAGGATCCGAGAACCTTGCAGGTTACTCTAAGCTCCTTGGAGGATGGGCGGGATTGA